AAAAAAAAAAAAAAAAACGAAAGAAAATTTCTCCCTCTGAAAACGGCGCGAGGGGGGGGCTGTTCCTCTCGGAGCGGCGCAAGATCTGGAAGCAGAGACGCTCACTCAGTGAACAAGAAAAGAAAAAAAAAAAAGACCGATACAGGGCCTCGCTGCACTACTCTCGAAATGTGCAAAACGAGAGTGAATCTTTCGCTAGATTATGGAAAGATACACCCCCATGATTTTTGTCTTTTGTGCATGTAGAGAGCAGTGCAGCGAGGCCCACAGCGCTGTGCTGACGCCTCATCCTACGCGGTCAGATTCGCTTGGGACATGGAAATATAGGGCCTCGCTCCACTACTCTCTACATGTGCAAAGCGAGAGTGAATCTTCCTCTAGAACACGGAAAGATACACTGCCATGATTTTTGTCTTTTGTGCATGCATAGAGAGTGGAGCGAGGTCCATACTAACGCTTCGTGGCCCTTTTGTTTTTTTTTTTTGTTTTTTTTTTTTTTTAAATCGAGAAATTGTCCAAAAAACAGCCGAGGATGCAGAGGCAAACTGCAGACGCCGAAACATCACAAGGCAACACCATCACGACAGCCAAAGGACTCAAAATAATCAGCTGGAACGTTAATGGGTTGGGTAACACAATAACAGAGGAAGATAAGTCAAGGGATATCCGGTTAGGTCTCTACGACAGGAACAGACCCAAACCAGATGTGGTTTTACTCCAAGAGACGCACCTATCGAATCTCTCAAACCACGGGAGCATAAAAAGGGCAATAGAAAAAAGCCTTGGGGGCTGTGCTTTCGCACTATGGTCCAACCTCGAAGGGCTCAGCAAACGGGGAACAGCTATACTAGTACCTAACGCCTCCAAGCTGTGGTCAGAAGGCCAGATCCTCAGCAATGCGGGAGACGACGCAGAAGGAAGATGGTCATGGCTTGACGTCAGATGGCAAGACGAGGAACTGAGAATACTAAACATCTATGCCCCCAACTCAGAAAACGAACGCCTAACCTTCTTCACCAGCATCCAATCCCTCATCCCAAATCCTCAATCGGTGATCATCGCAGGCGACTGGAACACGACCTTGGATCCAAACCTAGACCGTAGCTCCTGCTCCCAATTGATAGGTCCAACAAGAGCAGGAACCCACATAAGAAACATTATGACAGAATTCGACCTCATCGACCCTTTCAGAACGCTGTACCCAGAGAAAAAAACCTTTTCTTTGTTAAAAAAGAATCAGGCCAACCGAACGTCGTTGTCCAGGATCGACTTCTTCCTAATCTCCAAGCATCTCCAAGGAACAATCAAACAGTCTGAGATCCGCCCACCAGCGGCCTTCCGGGGTCTAGACCATAAGTCAGTAGAGCTACTCTTGAACTTTGACTCCCCCACAAAAAGGTCAGGGCTTTTACAGAATTAACAACTCCCTCTTATCCACCGAAAGATTAACAGAGGCAGTCAGATGGAACTGGTTCTTCTTGAGACAGATTAATGCCAGACGGGACAACAGACACCAATGGTTTATAGATAGCTACACCGACCTTACCCAAATAGTCTCAACGGAATCCAGAAGCATCATAGGAGAACGGAAAATTAGAAAAGAAGAACTCCAACTCGCCATGTCTCTTGCGGAGGAAAACCTTGTAGCAAACCCTTCAAACACTTTCTACAGCCAACTACTCGATTCAGCACGAGAAGAACTCAATG